TCACAAAAGCACACTTCTAAGCCCTCAAATCACTCAATTCCATGATCATTTGATGTGTTTAGGCTCAAAACCAACCATATTACTCAATCGAGGTCTAAGAACACATAGAAAACTACGAACAAAGCTTGTTAGTGCTGGCCAAAAATCACTACTACTTGTGTTTTCTTGAGAGACAAATTCAACAACACAACTTATGTTTGACAACTAACAATGTATTGGAACTAGCTATCATTTTCACTAAAGAGAGAATTTTTGCAAAAACGAAATTGCTATTTCCAGAAACTATTAATTATCTCCAAATAACATGAACTAAACCTATGTTTTAACACAAATTTGATCAAACAAGCCATAGAGGCATATTATCGAACATGTTGTAAACAAGATAACTTCGAAATCTTATGATCAAATCAACAACCGCTCTGATACCAATTTATGACATGGATTAGGATTATCTCTATGAATCAAACTCGAAAGGCAAGTATCTAATATATTCGGGAACTTACAAATAACAAATCGAAAGAGAAATAGGATAAGTTGAATTCCAAAAACAATCACTCCTCTCGAGCAAGCACTTTCGAGAATCAACGGACTGTCTGAGGCTGCCGATGCATCTCCCGTCTCTCACGCAATTGCATCCGAAGCTCAAACAATTGATTTGCCCTCTCGGCGGATGGAATCACTCCAACTATGAGGAATCTCTCCAAAGCTAGGTAAACTCTCTCAAAATGTTCTCATCTAAGTTGTGTATCCATAAAGAAAATAAACAATACTATATATACTAAATGACAAATTAATCTAAGTCTCACATATTAAGTGACAAGCTAATCTAAACCATATATTTTGATTAAGATTAAAGGATCACAACCTTCAAGCAAACAAGTAGCTTCGACCGGGTCCGGGTTGTAATCTGTCCGTCTAAGGTCGGTTCGGGTGATCCAGAGCCGTGTCACTTGGTCAACAATTTGTTCTTCAGACTTGCAGTATTCCAATTCAATTATTGTCTTTTTGACTTAATCTCTCAAGAAATGATAGCGCAAATTGATATGCTTACTTCTTCCATGAATAACTAGATTATCGGCTAAATTAAATGCCGATATATTGTCCACACATATCTTTATTGGCTCTTTTATTGGAAGCTTCAGATGACGCATTACAGATTGTAGCCAAAAAGCTTGGTAGGTAGTTGAAGCTGCAACAACATACTTAACTTCACCGGTTGAAAGTTCAAAAATCAATTGCTTCTTGAAAGATCACGAACATGTTGTACCTCCAAGTATAAAACAATAACCAGTCGTGCTTTTTCAATCATCCAAATTACCACCCTAATCGCTACAGAATATCCAATTAGATCAATTTTGTTGACCTCTTCCTCGACTAGATTGATAACCACCACCTCGTCCCTTTCCTTTGCCTCTATCTTTGAAATTTTTAACCTTTTGGTTACTCCCACCATAGAGGCAAGCTTGTGCTTGAAGAGCTTACTCAATAGGCGCGGCAATTTTGTTCTCATTCATTCTTTCATGTGCTCGAAGTGAATCTGACAATTGTTTGACTGTCATTTGAGATATGTAATTTCATTATGAAATTTCTACTACTATATGTTTGAACCTAGAAGTTAAGGTTCTGAGCATTTTTTCAATTGTATCCATCACCGAATGAATTTCACCATATGTTTTCATGCTATTTGCCATGGCAAGAACATGAGTAATATAAGCCTCAATTGGTTTTGAAGGCTCCATCTTTAGAATTTCATATTGATTCCATAATGTTTGAAGTCTAATGGTCTTGATTTTCTCATCTCCTTTGTAATTGGTCGAAAAAAATATTTCAGGCTCCATTGGATGAATTTGTTCATTCAGATTGTCAGAAATTTTCGTCACTATCATTTGATGAATGGAAAATAATGCTTTTTTGTCTTTTTTTTCAAGTCAAAGTGGGCTATTCTCAATGCAGCAGTTGCATCACTCGCCAACCTTTGAACTCCAATGTCGACAATATCAAACAATTCATGATAATTGAAAAGAACCCTCATTTGAATGCTATACTTGTTGTAATTCTTTCCATTGAGAATTGGAACAAATAACTGAGTTGAGGCATTCATCATTGTTAACTCTAATAATAGATGTTGAAATTTTCATATAAAAAAATTGAAATTGATGAACAGATTTTGGGAGAGACATACTTCTCTACTCTAAAATGCATAAAAATACTAATACACATAATTAGCCTATAATTGATTTTAGAAAGAAAAAAATACAACAACTGCTACAACTGTTGTCCTATAATTAATATTCCTAAAGACTTTCCAAATAGAATTCCATAATCAACACATATGAGCTTTGATCCTCTTAAGCTACTCCATGATACTCACATTTTGTTCCATAAAAAACTGTTGCTAGTCCATGTTCGTCATATGCTGACGGTAACCGGGATTAGCTCAAGGAGTAAGACCATTGCTACTAAACGACGATTGTTCAGTAGGCACTATCGATGCCAACGTCTTCAACCTGAATACATGGTTCGTTTTATAACAAGAGACCAAGTTGAGTAATGTCTTCTATCTTGAGCTAGGGCATCCTCTCTTATATCCCGTTGATTTGACATAGCATAGTGCCACCTAAATATTTTATAAAAACACATTCACGTCAATAACAACTTTTCTCTACACACTGATATTGGTCCATTTATACGTATGTATCTCTATATATACGTACATAAGTCATAAGCTACTTGTTTAAATTATATAGATCTGCAAGAAGTTAATTATTTTGAAATTTATACGTAAATGTAACGGCCAATTATAATGACAAAATTGCAATAGATATAGTATTGTATTTGACTTCAACTTCCAAGATAGTTATATTCCCGACACACCGAAATTCTCAAACTTCTGAAAGTATGTATGCACCTTCGTAAAAAAAATAGGCAAATTAATATTAGCAAATTTACGTATGAACAAAATATTTAAATACATTAATACCGACCTAATTAAAACAAACAATAATTAAAAAATAACACATATCCAACAATATATAAAATAGCATATATATGCCAAATTATTCGATCATCTAAAATATCATTTCAAAACTAAAAAGAAAAATAAACAAAATGAAGAAAAGGATGGATGCTGCCCATCGAGTAGTCACCCTTAAGCTGCCATCCAACCACTGGCCCAACTAAGGACACCCAAGGATGCACCACCAACTTTGGGTCAACGATAGTTGGTGAGACTACCAACACGTAAAGTAGACAAACAAAAATAAGAGTAAAATCTATGTTATAAGACTTATCATGAGCAAAATCTGAGATTCAATAGATCCAAAATTACAGATCTAATTACGCTAAAATCCGAAATTCAAGCCTCGCGTTGCACACGATCTCCTTGAAGCAAATTTGGTCTGCCACCAATTGCCTCCCAAGATAGAACGAACGATCGGAATATCCGATTTCGCGAACCGAATTAGGAAACCATAAAAAATAGAAAGAAACAAAAGAGTTAATTTTTGGTGAGCAAATAAGAGGTTTTAGGATGAGGAGAAATTTTGTACGAGTTAAAACTAAAACTGATTATTCATGTGAGGGTTTTGGTTTTATATTTAACAAGAAGAGAATTAGAATTTCAAACCCACCAAATACGCAATCTTCCCCACTTTCTTTCTACGAGTTGCAAATTATTTGAATTTTAATTAGTCAAATAATTGACTTAGGTCAAACCCAAACCACTCTAGTCCACTCATGGCCCAAATCCAATCTCTCATTGATCCATTTACATAAGATCGACAACAATAACAATATATGAAAGATTAAATTATTTTGTGTTTCCAATGTGGGACAAGGTCCCTTCATCTTTCTTGGTGTTCATTTTTTTTTTTAATCGACAATCATGTTGGTGTTCATGAAAAAACATAAATGTACGTTACCGGATAAAATAAATTTGAAATTTTATTTTAATTGTGATAACACGACCATATTGTATATAAACAAAACCAAATTTGGATACATTTGAAAAAATAGTCCTATTATTTATTTATTTATTTCGACTATTACAATGTTACTCTTAGATAAACACAGTTGTATTTGAAAACTAGAACGAATACGCCAATGCCGTCTTAGAAAATAGTTGCAAATTCAGCCACAATAGACCGGCTTGCTCATATTTGTTACAAAATAAATTTCATATTGCATGTGTTTACTTGTGAAAATTTAATTTTGATTTTACTATTTGAATTTTTTTTTCCAAAAATGTTTTTATTTATTATATAATACTAAAAAATTAATTTTATATTTAAAATTTGATATCAATATATATTTATATTATATAAAATAATTATTTCAATTCAAAATTTTATCATTCGATCAAAATGCCATGAATAAACACACCCGCATAATTTTAAGTCCACACCAAGATAAAAATAATCAAAATGAATGAATATATATATATTTGTATGTAATTAGTTTTGATTGAATTTTTTTATTTATATAGGGTGTGTTTGTTTGGGGTTTAGATTTTGAGTTGAAATTTGAATAGTGAAAAATTTTGAATTTGAAATAATTATATAATGTGATATAAATAGATATTAATATGATATTTTAAATATAAAATTAATTTTTAATATAATATAAAAAAATAAAAAATAAATATTTAATTTCATTTTTTTAAAATATAAAATAAAATTAAAAATGTATTTAAAATCCGATCCCCAAACAAACAGAAAAAAAATAAAATTAAGAATTAATTTAAAATCCGATCTCCAAACAAACACACAAATGTACGTAATCATAAATTATTAAAGTGATATTGGATGGTCCACTGATTTTTGCTGTTTTAATCAAGCACGCACGACAACGGGCGGCGTGGAGTTCGTCATGAATTACCGGTCAACTAACGTCGTTAACTCCAAATACAACCACGGCATATTCCGTCAACAGGCGCCGTTAGCGCATTTCCGTGATCCGCAAATAATGACTTTGTTTCGAAATATAAATACGCAAATATCCACACCAGAGTAGCCCACAGAGACATCAGAGAGCCACTCGTTTGCCCACAGACACCCCACTTTCTCACTCAGTTAAATCCGCCCTAGCCTTCTTTCTTGTTCAACAATCATCGTGATTATCGATCCAAGGACTCGAAGATGGGCAGGAAATTCTTCGTCGGCGGTAACTGGAAATGCGTGAGTCTCTAGTACTCGTTCCGCGATTGGTTCTATTGTTTGTGAAATTATTTGTGCGAGTCCTGTTTCTTTCTTTATTTGTTTTTCTGATCTGTTGGTGTATCTGCTTTTTGTGCGTTTTATACCTGCTTTGACGACATCGGCGGTGTTTTTGATTTTTTTGCATCTGACTGCTCTTTTCACTGATGTTTTCACAATCTGTTTTGAGATCGATAATTGTGATTGTTGCGCGTGATGTTTTGCCGTGGAGACTTAGAGCATCGAATCTGATTGCTGATATTGTGGTTGTTTGATTGGATTTGGAGTGGTGGAATCGAAATTAAAACCGGCGCTTTTCTGATCTAAATGGACATTGCTTTTATTTGTTGAATCTGAGTGGGGTTCTGTGGATTTAGACATACTGGTTGCCTTTGTTGTTCGATGTGTTAGCTGCTAGGCTAATGTACATGTTCAAAGTCTGGTTGATTTATGCTAGCATGTTGATGCAAGGCCCTGTCCAAATTTATACCCGATCCACGTATCATGGTTATTAAGGGATAGATTCGTGCTGATGAGTTGAGCCAGAGGCTAGTGCTTACAATAATTCGCTATTTTCTTCTAGTAATATTACACTTTTCAAGATACTATTTTTCCTACGAAAGTTTCTCTTTTTGTTTAATTTTCTACTTTTTGGCCAGTTTATCAAACATAATGAAGCCCAGCCACTTCTCCTTCACTCTTAAACTTCCCCCCACCCCCACCCCCTAATTAGTTTAGCCTATTAATTAAAGAGTATGTAAGGGTTATTTGTTATAAATGTAAAGTATATATAATAAAAAAGTGTATATTGAGGGAGTATTATTTATTTAAAAACCTAGATTAGATGCTCACTGTATGAGTTATGAACTATTAATCTCCACAAATTATATTGTAGAGCATGTTCAAACGAGTCTATGTGTGTGTGTATATATATAAATATTCTGTGCATGCAACTTAATGTCATTCTTTAGTAAGACATCCTGTACATGGAAGCACAATAAACCCCCCTACATGCCATGGTGTGTAGTGTCCATTTAAACATCCACACGCTGTTTGCCTGAATTTCATAACTATGCTAGCCGTCTTTCTATCTTGGGTTTTTACAATAATATCGTGTGCCTGAGATTATACTATCATATGTGTTGAGCATCAGATAATTACCTTGCTACTTCAATGATTTTATTTAAGTTCTAATATCTTCATGCGTAGGACTTTGTCATTGAATTGTCTCATTGCTTTTGTAGAATGGAACCACCGAAGAAGTGAAGAAGATTGTGAAAACCCTGAATGAAGCCTCCGTGCCATCACAGGATGTTGTTGGTGAGTATACATGTTCTTGTTTGACTTCAACATATGTTTAGAATTTATGTAGGTTGAATTATCTATGACTAAAAAATTGACATTATTGTTAGACTCTGGAGTTCACGACTTCCCTGCAGAAATTTATTGTTTTTAATCAACAGTCTTCTAAGTACCCGGACAGAATGCTTCTTGGTTTGTATTCTATCTATAGATATGGATAAAATTCTTTGGATAACAAGGACATACAATGACACAGTTTACTATATCGTTTAGTGTGTAATTCTGAAGATGTTTTTTTTCCAATGACTCTAAGAAGGGTCTTCAATAATTTTATTTATAGAATGATTTAATCTCTGTTTAAAGTACATATCTGTAAGAATTGTAGTGCACACTATAGTCATGAAATTATGGCTCAAATACCAGTGGTAAAACACTATATTTGGGCTCACACAAACATTGATATACTAGTTGTAGCAAATATATATTTTGTTTCCAATATCATGATTGAAATACTTACAGTAATTTGGTTTTCATATTATTGAACTATTTTACTGACCTGATCATTTCCCTGCAGAGGTGGTTGTCAGCCCCCCCTTTGTCTTTCTTCCCTTGGTAAAAGACGCACTTCGTCCTGATTTCCATGTTGCTGCCCAAAATTGTTGGGTCAAGAAAGGGGGTGCTTATACCGGTGAAGTTAGGTAAATGTTCTATGTAATATTTCATCTTTTTCTTATTGAGTGCAACTCCATAACCCTAGAAATATGTGTAATATGCCATGGTATCTTACGGTGTTTTCTTTTATCAAACTTTACCAAATTTTTACTATTTATAAAAAAAATTTCTCCAAAAAAATCAAATCAAACATCTATTTTTTATTTTTTATATTATACTAAAAATCAATTTTACATTCAAAACACATCAACACCTATTTATATTATATTATACAACTATTCAAATTCACAATTTTTATTATTCAAATCCCAAACCAAAATCCAAACCTCCAAACAAACACACCCTAAATATGTGGTTTATGAAAAATAGTTGAAAAAGAGATTTGCCACAAAGGGGAAAAGGGAATGAAAGAAAATGTATCTGGTTATTTTGTGGAATTAATCAGGATTTCCCGATTCATTGAGGTGCTTAATACCAAATTGAAGTACTGTCTTCACTGTTCCTCAGATTAACAGAAATTACATTTTATCTTTTTTACTCTCCTCTTATTTTCAGTAGGAAAAGATTTCCTTGCTTACTGCCTTCTTCACTAAACAAACATAAAAAAATAAACTTCCTTCGTTTATTCTTCTCTCTTACCTATTAAGATCATGAATTACACATGTAGTTGAGCTTCCTTATTACTAGCATAACACAATTAAACTGACATTGTTTTGGTTTGTGCACACTATCACTTGGTCCCTTTTATTTTTGAAGTTAGTTTGTATAGATGAATGGGCACTATATTGACTAGTTTATAAGCTCTATTTTATGGCATTAAAAAATTAAGTTTATAAAACTTTACATTTGATCTTTGCAGCTTTGTTTAGAAACAATAAAGTAATATGTTCTTGATTTATCTTCTGATGTAGTGCTGAGATGCTTGTCAATTTGAGTGTACCTTGGGTAATACTAGGACATTCTGAAAGGAGAGCTTTGTTGGGTGAATCAAATGAGGTAATGTGTAGAATCCAGTGAGCTTATTTTGGAACTATATGTGTGTGCTTTGAATGGATTGTGTTTTCTTACATCCATTTGCTTTTGTCCTTCATCCTAATCTCAGTTCGTTGGAGAGAAAGTTGGGTATGCACTTGCTCAAGGTTTGAAGGTGATTGCTTGTGTTGGTGAGACTCTTGAACAAAGAGAATCTGGATCAACTATGGATGTTGTTGCTGCACAAACTAAGGCCATTGCAGGTATTGTAGCTACCATAGACTGTTATCTCATGGGGCTAGGATGTATTCCTGGTTAATGGCTTTTGTGTTATTGCATTTTTTTTTTCCATTTGTAGCATGATTATCATCTGCTGTCGTAAATGAGTGGGTCGTAAAGTTTCATGTTCATTAAAATATAGCTACACAATTTAACTGCTTAGGGAACTTTGGTTGTTCTGGAAAACATAAGTCCTCTCAGTAAGTTCGTTGATAGAATGAGTGAGGAGGCTCTGAATTTCTTTTCATTCTCACTTCACTTTTTATTTATATAATGTACCTTAACTGATTTCAATTTTGTCTTTGTTCTTAAATATGGTTCACTTTCTGTGTTACAGAAATGTGATTTATTTATATTTAACTATAACATTCTAGTATGGATGGCTTATAAAACCTTTATTTTCATATGCTTTTCGGATGTTTCTGCTTCTCCCACCATTTGCTTGTATTTACTGTTTGGTTGATATCTTCTGCTATTTGTGTTTAGGGGGAGCATTAGTCGGTTCAAACCGAAAAAACCAAATTTTTTTTTGGTTTGGGCTATTTGGTTTGGATTGTTCGGTTCGGATCGGTCCAAAAACGAATTTATAAATTTTGATTTCGGTTCGATTATGGTTTTTAACTTTTAATTTTGGTTAACCGAAAAAATCAAAATTTTAAAAATAATAAAAATTTACATATTAATAATTAATATATATTATAATTTTTAGTATTTGTATTTGATTTTATATGTATAATATATATTAATAATTAGAAGTTCGGTTTCTTCGGTTTTAATTCGAATCGAACCGAACTAGTTTGGTTCAGTTTATTTGGTTTTAAAAAACTTTGGTTCGGATTCAGTTCAATTTTTGTAAATCGAAAACCGAACAAAATTGAAAGTTCGGTTCGATTGAAACTGAACCAACAAAATGCACACTGCTATTTTTTTTTTGTCAAGTGATTGGAAACTATAAGAATGGCCTGGTAAAAACAGGGGCAGCATGTAGAAAGTCCACGACTACTCGTTCTGCATTTCTTTAATGTTTTTTTATTAATGTCTTCTAGTCCTCTAGGGAATGACCTTGCTTTTCTTCTACCTCGACCATTGCAGAGCGTGTCTCTGACTGGACTAACATTGTCTTGGCTTACGAGCCCGTCTGGGCCATTGGAACTGGAAAGGTTGCCACCCCTGCTCAGGCTCAGGAAGTAAGTTTGGCCCGACTTTTAATTAGCTCACATTTGTGGTTTTTGATTTGGCCTGTTTATGAATGTTTGAATCCATATCGATAATGATTAATGTAGTCTGTGATAGGCCTCTTTCTTTCACACATACATCCACGGGCCAAGAATGAAGGATATTGTTCTCACAACTGTCTAATAGTCGTATATTATAATTTAGAATGTGACGTTTTCTGGTTGTAGGTGCATTCCGAATTGAGGAAATGGCTTCACAAAAACGTTAGCCCCGAAGTTGCTGCTTCAACCCGCATCATCTATGGAGGTAATTGGAATCGAATTTTGTGAGATCTGATGGACCAAATATCACTTACAACTGAAGATGGACTTTTTCAAGAACAAGCAATCTTGCTTCTAATGTATTTTCTCACCTATTCGCACTATGTTTCCGGCAATCTTACTCACACAGGATCGGTGAATGGAGGCAACTGCAAGGAGTTGGCTGGCCAAGCCGATGTCGATGGCTTTCTAGTTGGCGGCGCATCTCTCAAGGTAACTTAATTTCTATTTGGGAACATCACATGAAATCCAATGTTTTCTTCTATTCAGATTATTACTATTCTCAGAGTATCTTCTGAAACATATTGGAACACTTGCTAGTTAGTTACCACTTTTCAACTGATATTGATGTTGTTGTATAATGATTATTTATTATTATTATTATTATTAATGTTGTAGCCGGAGTTCATCGACATAATCAAGTCTGCGGAAGTGAAGAAAAGCACTTGATGAGGATGGAATGGAGACTTGTTCTTGATCAACCTCACCTACCTCTCTATAAATTTCGTAAGTTTGGGATAAATATATATGATATTTAGTTGGTGAATAAACGTGGGAGACGAGACAACAATGGTTGATGGTTTTTGTGTACTGTGCACTGATCATCGTCGTCATCAACAACTCACTGACTGCTTTTTGGAGTGTCCTTTGCAATCGTTTTCGTTATAAAACCATTATGTATCAACTAAATTATGCTATTCTTCTCACAGTAACAATCGTCTTTTCGGGGAGTGGATTAATTTTTGTTGCTGATTATTTTATGCCTGATATGTTGTGCTTTTTTTTTGTTTGTTTTATTTTTTATTTTTTTTTGAGATGACGTGGGAATCGCAGCCGCTATTCTTGGAGTGCATTTTGAGTAAATTTTTGGTCGAGTCATATGTAGCATGTAAAATCTGAAGGCATCAGAAGTTTACCCATGACTTCAAAGTTTCACGTCACCAACCTATTCCTTGAGGGCGTAAGTGTTCGGTTGAAGTGCTTTTTGGCCGTAAAAGTACTTATAGCTAAATTAAGTTAAAATGTGTGTGGTATTTCCTTTCAATTTTACTGAAAAAGTTTTTGTTTGGTTTTAATTAGAAATTTGAATGATGGTTTGAATTTTAGTTTAAATAGTATTTGATAATGATATTTTACTACTAGAAATAATGTATTTTTATTAGGCTATCTTTAACTTATTATTCGATTTTTTTCAGTAATAATTTCCATTCGAGTTTTTGGGTCGAGTTATGTGGATAATAAAAAAATTGTCAATTCGAACTTGAAAAAAAACAATTCATTTTTATTTTAATTTTTTATATTTAAAATAATATAAATATCATAAATAATAATAATAATAAAAATCTCAAGTATACGAAAATTGAAATTTGACATGATTTTTATATTTCGTCTTATCAAGTCAATCCGAAACACGATTTGAACTTGACACAATTTTTTTTTTTTTTTCGTTTTGGGCTCAGGCCGATCCGATTTTTTGCAAATTCGAAATACCTAAACCTGAAAATTTTTAGGTCAACCCGAAATACAATCCGAACACGACACAAATTATTTTTTGTTTTGGGTTCGGGTCGACCCGAATTTTTTACAAATTCGAAATACCCAAATCCAAACCTGAAAATTTTTAGGTCGAACAGGTTCGGTTTTTTCGGGTTCAGGTCAACCCGATTTTTTGCAAACCCGAAATACTCAAACTCAAACCTGAAAATTTTCAATTCGAACAAGTTCAGTTTTTTTGGGTTCGGGTCGACCCGATTTTTTGCAAACCCGAAATACCCAAATCCAAACCTGAAAACTTTCAGGTCGAACGAGTTCAATTTTTCGGGCCGGATTTAATTTTGACATCCCAAACTCTAATTATAAATTTCAAGTTTTATCCTGAAAAGTATATTTTTTATTCTCTAATTATATTTTATGTATTTTTATATTATCATCTATAAAATATAATTTATATTTTATTTAAAAATTATTTATACTTAAAATTAGAATTACAAATAAAATAATTAGAAATAAGTAATTAAACGCTATCAAGACAAATATGATATAATAGTTAATTAAAGATAATACTCCCTCCGTTCGGCTCTAAGGGTCCTATTTCTTTTTTACCTTATTGTACTTAGTATTAAATATATCTTTATATTTGTACGATTTTATGCATAAATATCGTTATAATAGTATTATAGTATTTTTGTCATTTTTTCTAATTTGTACTATATTTTCATATAATATTTAATATTCAAAGATCAACACGTAAAAAGTAAATGAACCGTTAGAGCCGAATTAAGATAGTATAATATTATTACTTTGTATTTCGAAATGATTTATTTAGAAAACATGCATTACATTCGTAGTTCAATATAAATATGACATACTTATTTAGTGAAGTTAATATATTGTTCATATATATATATATATTCTATTAAATTATTACGGAATGTGAAATGAACATCTATGTTTCTAATTTATCTATATTCGATTGTCATTTTAATTGATGAAGATAGCACTTCTAAAATTTATCTAATAGGTGCATTGGGATCTTGTTCATCTTCTATTGTCATATTACGTATAATATTAAATAGTGATAAGAATTGACCAATTCATCGGCTATAATTGCTCTAACGGTATATTTTTATATTTTTATAAAATATAATAATTAGTTGATTAGTCAAAGATGGATAGTTATATTTATGACAAAAATTGATTGATTAGAATTTTTTTATAATACTATATATATTATATAAATATAAAATAAATAATTGAAATTGTTCAGAAAAATATTCGATCCAATAATCAGATACTGTGAAATCTGGATCAACATTCGAAATTAAACTTATGTACTTCAATATTTTATGTAATTTGTATTTGATCAATGTAGTTTGTTTTTCATGCAATGCATTTTTATGTAATATATATTTTATCATTGTAATATTATGCAATTTGCTTTTTTATGCCATGTGCTTTTGCATTTTAATTTTATTTGCTTAAATAATTTTATAACATATATTATTCGAAATAAATTTAAATTTAAATACAAACATATATATATTTTAATAATTATACATACATATTTACATAATTTTTTATGGAAAATATATCAAATAATTATATTCAAAAATAAAAAAATTACATACTTACATGTTATTTTTAAAAAATAAAATTATACTACGTCCGTCAACTGTCATTTTATCCATTTGTATTTGGGCGTCATTGTTTTTAACATTAAAAATACTTTTATATTTGTATAATATTTTTGTACAAATATCATTACATTGATATTATCATACACCAATAGAAGTATTTTTGTCTTTTTTTTTACTTGATTTGTACTATATTTTGATATAATAATTAATATTAAAAAATTAACATGCAAAAAGTAAATGAATAGATTTTTAAAAAATTATAAATTATTTTAAAAATAAATAAAATTACATATCAATTTCTATAAAAATTATATATCATTTTAAAAAAATAAAATTATACATTAATTTTTTAAAAACAAATTTAAATATCATTTTTTAAAATATAAAATTATATATTATTTTCTAAAAAATACACCAAAAAATAACAAACTTACACAAAATTTTCTATTAAAAAAAAATAGAATCGAACCACAAAGTTATTCCATATACTGTAGCAAACGGCCAAAATAGGGGGTAAAATGAGGTTGGATTGGATCTTTCGACCTTGCACCCGGAACATATGCTCCGAATACCCAAATTGCTCCATGTTGCGCAATTTGAAAATATCACCTTTAAATTAAAGGGAAAAAAAATGTTTTTTTCACCATGGCCATCTCTCTTCTTGTTAAATTATATATATATTGGTAACTAATATATATATATATATATATATACACGGTTGCGGTGGTGTGAATATTATTGTGTATAAATTATGTAATAAGTATATATGTATGTATGTGCATTTATTATGTGTGTGAGGGTGAATAGAGAGAAAAGAGACTGGTTAAGATTTGGAAGAAGGATTAAAATATAATTCTATACACTATAGTAATTATAAGAACATAAAATTATTATATCATTCATAATTAATATGATTTACATAATGAATAACAATCATTTTTTTGAATGGAAAGAAATAAAAAATTTATTCCAAAAAAATTTATACTAATTTTTTTTTACATTGACCTGTTTAGTTTTCTTAATTTTCTTCCTAAACCCTCCACTCGGTTGATTATTTTCCACGTGAAGTAGATGAACAATTTTTTTTAGGAGACACGCATCTCAACCCTCTATCGCATACAACGATAATGCCTCTGTTTCGTCACCAAACACAGGTAAGCTTACATATGCATTTTTCCGGCTAGTTCGGAATATACTCCACAACATATTTAATTATTTTTAATAGCATATTATTCAATAGTTGACATCGTATATTGCTTATACGAAAAACATCTTAGACTTTAGATAGCATACGATTAGCGTTACGCCGAACGCATAATTAATTAAATCATGTTCACATTTTTGTAAATTTATTTGATTGGAGATATCTTGAATTTAGCACACGTTCTATTGTGGATACACACATAAAAGGGGGTTGCCGTCAAAATTAAGATGCAAAAAAGAAAATAAAAAAAATAAAATGAAAGAATGATTCACAATGCATACAATATATTGAATATTGTTGCAACAAGAGAGTGTACTTGATCAAGGAAACACAAAAAATAATTCAAATGACACAAGCACATCCTGTGAAATTGCGATAGTGTATAACGTGACATTATATCATCGAGTTGTTATAGTATATGTGTATACCGCCGATAAAATAACATTCTATGAGTTAAGATCTAAATAAGATTTGATACCATAATTAATAAGATTTTTTTATAATTATGGTAACATTTATAATTAATATCAAATCAAATAAAACTGTCAAAAATATTTTTTTTTTTCAAAAAAATATGTCATATATGATAAATATAAAATTTAACTATACAAATAATATGTGGAACAAACAATGTATAACGTGACATCATATAATCGAGTTGTTGATAGCATATGTGTATACAATCAATAGCATAACATCATATGACTAAGATCTAGATAAGCTTTGATACTATAGTTAATATTATTTTTTTTTTATAATTATAGTAACATTGATATAAATATCAAATCAATATCTTATTTTATTTAAACTAATTATTTCAAATAAAACTATTGGTAAAAATATTTTAATTTTAAAAAAATATGTCATATATAATAGATATAAAATTTAATTCAACAAATAATATGTACAACAAATAATACATAAGGTAACATCATGTAATCTAGTTGTTGATAGCATATGTGTATACATTCGAGAGCATAACATCATGTGTTAATATTTAGATAAGATTTGATACCATAATTAATAAGATTTGATAATTGTATCATATCAATTACTTGATTTAATTAAATTAATCACTTAGGTTAAATAATATTACCAAAAATATTTTAATTTTTTTAAAAAAATATTAGAGAAATATAAAAAATATTAATTCTTCAAGTAATTTGTTTAGTAAAAATTATAAATCATGAATAAAATAAATTACAAATATTATATGCATATCTAGTCGATAGCATATTGAAATATGAAACAATATTTGGATAAGATTTGAAATTATAATTAACATAATATTGATAATTACGGTAATGTTTGTAATTATTATCATATCAATTTCTTTCCTTAATTGAATTAATTACTTTAAATACAATTATTGTCAAAAATAATTTAATTTTAAAAAAAAATGTCATATATAATAGATATA